CGCTGCCGCCACCTCCGCAGCTGCTCCCGCTGCCGCCGGGCCGTGAGCTCCTCTTCCTGGACCTACAAGTTGGCGGGACCTGGGTCAGGAAGCCCCCAGGGCACGCCATCGCTCACGCTGATCCTAGCTTTGCGTGTTTCCGTGGCTGCACACAGTGCGGGGTTTCGCCTTCTATTTTTGCATCAAAACAGTACTGTACGTATTTCCATGGCCGAGGTCTTTGGTTCTCGCTGACACGTTGCCCAGGAACCAGGAGCCCCTTTTACCCCAGCCTAGTTCTGGCCCTGCACCCCCATAAGCTCCTCAGGTCCTCGGAAGGGAGCGGTGCGGAGGGTGGAGGGCTGGAGAGCCGCGGAAGTCCCCGGTAGCAGGCACACCCACGCCGGTCCGCAAACTCGGGCCCCAGAGCCGATGCCCACCGCCTGGCCCAGCCGGGCCACAGCAGCCTTGGTGACTGGGAATGACCCCAGGGAGAGACTCACGGCTGCAGCAGACACACGGGAGTGACTGACACGGTGTCACTGCACTGCACCACCAGCGGGACTGCGGCGAGTAGGGCGGAGTCTGACTCGGCCCTTGTCCTTCCCCGCGGGGCCGCCCTGCCTGTCCCCAGGATATGCCGCACGCTGGGAGCCGGCTGGGGTGCCCATGACCACAAATATTGGGCATCCTTGCCTGACTTTGCCAGATTTTCAGAGTTAGTTCAAGTAAAGCAGTGAAAAGATCTCCCTGTTTCATCCCCCTCCCCATTTTTTGCAGTACTGGGGACTGAACCCAGGGCCTGATGTGTGCTACACAAGTGCTTTACCACTGAGCTGCATCCCCAGTCCTATGTCTGTTTCCCTTGAGACAGAAAAGTAAGCGGACCAGGAACTTTTGATCCTCCTGCCTCAGCCTTCTGAGTGGCTGGACCCGAAGGTTGCACCACCACAACCGCCTGAATCACACTCTCTTCCAACTGCTAGCACTGTGCTGCAGCCTCCGGCGGAGACACAAGTAAGCAGACACCAAACAGGAAGGAGACAACTGGGGAATAGCCGGGGTCGGCTCTGTTGATAGCTTGTTTGGCAGAGGCGAGAGGCAGCCTAAAACTTGACATATTGTCCGTGTTTTCCAAGGTGCGGGGTGCGAGCTGACTGGGACCCCACGGCCCGGTGGGCAGCCTTGGACAGCAGGCAGAACGACTACGCGGCATGGCAGAAATAAATGCACCCCGGAGCACTGACAGCAGGGCGAAACTGCACTCGGAGCACACCAGAGACAAGGGCCCGGGAGACACCCACCGGCTCCAAGGACACATGTAAGGTGTGAGCAGAACAAACAGTGAAAGTTTCTGTGTGGATGAAAGTTTACTTCTAAGGCCGCGCATCCTGGCGTTCATTAAATCAGAGGAAAATGAGAAGTGGAATTTTGTATATAAATTATGGTAAATCGCCACATATGTTTTTACAATACTTAAAATGGTGTTGCACTGAAGTTTAAGGTTTAAATGTGTTTCCCAAAATTCATCGCAGTGAAGGACACACCGCCATTCCCTCCCTCAGAGTCCTCGCCCTCACTGTGAACTCGCTTCTCCCGCCACTTCCGGGCAGCTCGGCCAGTCCTCTTTCCTGAGCATCCTGTCACAGCTACCTTACGTCCCAGGTTAGTTCCAACGCTTACAGCAGTTTCCATCGAGTGAAAACGTCACCATGTGTCCTCGCCCACCTTACTCACTGCGTCTGGGCCGGTGGGACCCTGGCCCTTCCCCTAAGTCCAAATGACCGTGAAAGGTGTACGTTTTGATTTGCTGCAGGACATGGAGGCAGCAGTGATCGTGCAGCCAAAGACATTCACAAAAGAGGGCCCCAGAACTGCTTCAGAAAGCGGAGAGAGCAGTGGCAACAATGAGATAAGCGTGTCTGAAGCAAGGGGAGGATGCTGAGGGGGAATCTTGGCAATGTGTCTTTTACTGTAATAATTTTTACAAATCGAGGGCTGGGGATTTAGCTCAGTGGTTCCGGCACCTGCCTCGCAAGCGCAAGGACCTGAGTTCGATCTCTGGTACCAAAAAAAAAAAAAAAGAAGAAGAAGAAGAAACACAATAATTTTAAAAAATTTAACCATTCACTATATTTTCCAACCACACTCTGTACTTCAAAACACAGATGTCTCCAGCAGGAGATTGGGGGTCTGAGTGGCAGCAGAGGGTCCCTGGGCCAATCCCCCAGGCTCTGAACTTCCGCCCTCATCTGGACGTGGGCCTGGTGACGGGTCTGCCCCAGGTGCACGCAATCGCAGGAAACAGTGACATACATGTAAGAAGGTGGACATCTCCCCACCGAGACACGGGTCCTGCCTGGACCTGTCGCCACCCCTGCCCACTCCACTGTGAACATCTCTAGGGTGGGGCTGTGCCAGCATCACCTTGGCAACCTCCAGGCGGGGCACAGCTCTGGACCCTTGTCACAGTGCTTTCTATGCCAAATCCCCCTCAGGATGGAAGGGCGCCGGAGCCAAGGAGGGAACCGGCTGGGCTCCACTTCGGGGCGGTGCACCAGGGATGTCAGGCTGGACGTGTCCCTGGCACCCCAGCACTGCGTGCCCAGACTCCCGCCTCCTGCCCTCCCGCTGCCGCTGCCGGCCGTCCCAGTGCTTTCCAGCATTCTCAACGGCTTCCCGTGGTAAGCGCCACACGACCATCATGCCCCGTTGTTGTCCATGCTCGCGCACGACGAATGGAGACCCAAGTTTCTGGGAGCGGCACTCCCAGCATGCACTGCGCCTGTCATGTTTCCTCATCCACTTCGGGGACAAATGCTGGTCATGGCCCGCAGGACCCACCCTGGAGCCCAGTTGTGGGTGCAGCACTGTGGGCTGCAGTCCAGAGAGCCATCAGCTAAACCGGGAAGTCCGCAAAACTCCCCCAAAGTGGCCTGTCCTCGGGCCCCAGCACCTCTCCTGGGGAACTTCAGGACTTCAGCCGAGGATTCTATAGTCAAAGCACATCGTGCTTTTTCACTGCCTGCCATGCCAGTGCTTCACACGCAACAGCAAGAGGGGCCGGCAGGTGTTACTCCCACCTCACGGAGGAGGAAATGGGCCCAGAGAGGTGAAGCGCGTTCCCAAGGTCCCTCAGCCAGCTCGGTGGCAGAGCTGGGTTTAGCTCCGGAGCCACCCCGCCCGTCGGGGCCTCTCTAACATAACCTCCGACTGAGCTCACCTCGTCCCCCGGAGCCCTCTCCCGGCCTTCAGATAGCGTCCTGCCGTCGCCCCCTCTGCCTGCACACCCCGTGCTCCCGCTGCTGGCTCCTTCCTTCCCCACCGCAGGCCCGCAGCTCGGTGCCCACCCTGCCTACACTCTGCATGCCCTGCCCAAAACAGCCTGCTTCTCCGTAGCTTCCTCCACTCTGGCCCCATGCACTGGGCAGCCCCTCCTCGCCCCCAGCCTCAGGTTTTTTTGTTTGTTGGTTTTGGATTTTTGAGACAGTCTCACTATGTCGCCAGGCTGGACTGGAACTCATGGTGACCCTCCTGCCTCAGCCTCCCAAGAACTGGGATTACAGGTGTGCAGCACCACACCTGGCTCACCAGCCCCCGTGGTCAGAGATTTTCTTTCTGTCATTGCTGAGGACAGGGACCAGGGCAGGACACAGCCTTTGAGAAGGGCCCCGTGGCCCACAGTCTCAGGGCCTGCGAGGCCGGCAGGCAGCACCAGGTCCTGTTTCCCGGGGCAGGTTGGGCTGCACCGCTGGGACGGGAACAGACCTGGGAAGAAAGGGGCGCGGAGACACGTACCCGGCTGGCCAGCTCTGCCCGCAGCGCCCGCAGCTTCTCATGGGCACGGAGCGCCGCGCTGCGTTCCTGCACCACACGGGCGCTCAGTGCGTCCACCCGGCGCAGCAGCTCCCTCTCGGCCAGCTCCAGCTCTCGGATCCTGTAGCAGAAGTGGGGACGCTGTTCAGGACGGGCCAGCAGGACCTGAGCCGGGGCCTCGTGGGGGCCACACTTGCTCATCATTCAGCCAACCCAACGCCCTGACGAAACTGTGCTTTTAGAACCCTTCCTGCTGTTGTGTTAGAGATCATCTCTGGGACTCCAAGGCCATCACCACAATAAGGAATAAGGTCAGAATCTGAAGTCTCTCAGCCAAACCAGTAATCCCACATTCAGGTAACATCAAGGACGGCTGAGCGGAGCTGTTTGCTCCAGTTAATCCTCACGTTGCCAGCCTTCGGGGAGTGGGTAACCCTACCCCTCCTTCCCGGGGAGCACACTGAGGGTCAGAGAGGCTGAGTGGTTTCCCCAGCTCTCACAGCATTGCAGAGTCCAGGCCGAGTCCTAACCCTTGCTGTATAGCTCCCCTTCAGGTACATTTGTGTGGTCCTTCCCAGGCCCCTAAGGGTGAGGCTCGTCACTGTCACAAAAGCTGGGGTGTGCATCCTCGTGCCTTGAGTCCAGGCTGGGGCCCCGCACACCCAGGATGGACACCTTGCATGCTCACACACACACACACACGTGCGCGCACACACACACACACACACACGCACACCTGTTCCAGAAGCCCTGGCATCTGCCAGCCACGGGCTTTCACTGCTCCTGTTCTCCTGTGACCCTCAGGACGTCTGTCCTGAGGCAGAGGCAGAGGCAGCTGTGCCTTACTCGGGTCTGCCGTGAGGAGGAGATGAAGTGAGGCTTCCCACTGATCATCAGCCCCTGAGACCTCTCTGAGGGTCTCCAAGGACCGAAGGGCATGTGACCCTGGGGCTGAGCACCATCCAGCCCCTTCCAAAGTGAACAGATGGGCAGCCCGGTGCAGGGTCCAGAGCCAGGCCTGGACCTTCTGTTTGCTACAATGACACATTGAGAAACGGAAGGGGAAAGAAAGCCCTTTCTGCTTTGAGACCAATCAGCGACAGAAAATGTGGGGCTAGGTATAACTCTATGCTTAAACGGCAGGGAAGCCACCCTATTGCTGTGGCAGGCTGAACCTTGGCCCTCAGGGTGGGGACGCAGCCTTCGAAGGGCAGAGGGGCTGCAGGTGTGGCCAGGTCCAGGCTGGGAGCCTTCTGGATGATACAGAGAGTCCTTGACAGGGGGCACAGGACAGCGGGCTGTGGGGAGGGAAGCCAGGTGACCTGCAGGTGGAAGACGGGCCAGTCCAGGATCCCCAGGGTGCAAGCAGCCGGGAGTTCCAGGCCCACAAGGACACAGATCCCTGCGGACCCCGAGACAAGTCAGCTGGACACTGCCCCCTCTGTGTGGTGTTGTTTTGAGGGCTAACCATGCTAACCCTCACCAGGCACACAAATGCCCCAGGGAGGGCGGCCCTTGAGAAAGCTTTCGCCTTTAGACTAGAAACTGGGGAATGTGGTTTTCTGTCTCAAATTTTTAACAATCCTGATACATTATTTTTAAAATAAATACTTTTCAGTTTTAACTCTTTCACTGAAGTAAATCCATCACATCACCAATCCTTTGTTATCCTCTGGCTAACCAATGCCAGAGCTGAAAGTAGCCTGAAATCTGCCTTCAGGATTGTGCTCCCAGTGACGCTGGGCAGTGGATTTCATCCTCCCAGCCTCAGCTTCCCACCTGTAGAGGCGATCGTGGCACTGCTACATCATAGTTAAAAGGAATGAAGGAAGGAGGGATGGAAAACTAAGGGAAGGGAGGGAGGGAGAGAGGAAAGGGTGGAAGGGAGGAAAGAAGCAATCAGGAAAGCCTGGGTTTCGGAGAAAGGCCCAGAGGGAACGCCACCCTCGGGACCTGCCATCCCAGCGTGGAGGGAGAGCCATCACAGGGCTCAGCGGAGAGGCAAGGCGGGGCTCTCAGCATGAAAACCAGACAGAGGACAGCCACCCAGATTAGCGACTCTGCAGCAGGATCGGAGGAGGCACAGCCAGCAGGAGGAGGAGATGCCTGGTCTCTGTCCCCACCGCTCCCTTCCAGTTCCTCTCACGGGCTGCGTCCACGGGAGGAGCAAGGAGCTGGGAAGCCACTTCAGGTGCAGAGTGGAGGACGGGATGGTCAGGAGGCCAGGGTGACGACCGCCGCAGGCAGGCTGTGGCCCTCGGTTGAAGCCCCCTGTGGCACTGTGGCACAACTGCCATGACCAAGACTCGTCGGGCACACAGAGAGCCGCCCAAGACAGCACACGTACCTGCTCCTCAGCTCCGACTCCAACGGGACGCACTGGCCCACCGCTGCCGACAGCTGCTGCTCTGAGGACTCCAACTGTTTCCTGAGCCCAGCAGTGTTCACATCTGGGCTGCCAGCCACTTCCTCCGGAAGATGCCCCTGCTCCCCACTGCTATCCTCCGCATCCTGGAATATCCAGCACGTGTCTATCTTCACATCGACGTTCGTGACATCAAACCCATTGCTGTTGGGGACTCTGACGAAGTAGCTGAAACTTTTCTTGGTCTGTGTCTGGGAGGTGGACTCCATCCCGTAAATATCTCAGGGGCAGAGACTTAATAAAATTAAGCAAAGTTGCGTTGTGGAGTTTCTGGAGATTCTGGGGTGGCAGTGGAGCCTGCAGATTGCGCAGGAAAATATCATCTGAGGAGCACAAGAACAGGTGGATTATTCATGAGTGGGGACTTGGGTTTCACTGGCACAAGCCTCATGCAGTATGGATGAGGCTCTCGTTTTACACGTGGGCATGCCAGAACTCACCCAGTGTGAGGACATGGCACAGAAAAGTCAGCTAAGAGCAAATGTTAGCAATGCACACAAAAAGGAAAATCAGATCTCCAGGCGGAGCCATCAGAATGTCACAAACTCTTGGTAGCAAGAGAGGCTACCCATCAGGAAGGATGGCCTATGCTTCGTTCTGAGCTTGGCACCTCTTTATGGACGACCTGGAGTTTGCTAGGCGAATGGAACAGAAGTCAGCACTGCCCCAGGTTCCCTTCCTGCCTTGCCTAGTCCAGTTCTCCTGGTGACCTAGGGGGGACCAGCATGGCCATTAGACAAGGCAGAAGGGAGGCTCTGGAAGCAGGGAGCTTTCCTAGCCCCACAGATGGGATGGAACACGGCAGGATCAGGGTTCCAAGCCAGGTCCAACTCCCAAACTGAGAGCCCACGCCCTACCTTGGCAGCTACAACTCAGGCGTGGTGCACACCAGGTCCGGAGCAGGAGAAATCATGAGGCTGAGAGCCACAGGGCCTCCGAGAGCCCAGAGGTTGGAGAGAGAGGTGGCCAAGGCCCGGCGCAACTCTCAGGGCTGGGCCCCGCGAGACAGAGCAGCCCGGTGGGGTGGCACAACACAGACACGGGCCACAGCCTCGCAGGTGCCTGAGGACTGTGGCCGCTCTCTGTGGGCCTTGGAAGTCCCTAGGGGATCTGGCCCAGGGAGGTGGCTGATCCCATGTATCACCAAGGACGGAGCCCTCTGGGGTTTGCAGAGCTGAAAAGGAAGGAGCGGGGGGCAGGGGCAGGCGCAGCCGGGCCATGATACAGGAAAGCGAAAACTCAACACCGGAAGCTAAATTCTCCCCGTGGACATTGTGGAAGGGACCGCACGCACTCCTTGTCCTTAGGACATTTAGAACCCCTGCTAATATTTTTCTTCATGTCTTGGACATAGAACCCTCCTGTGGTGTCTGCAGGGGACCCACCCGGACACAGTCTTCCTCTTCGTGCACACTGCATGGTCTCGTTCCAAGTGGCTTCTCCAGGACCCTTTCCTGCTCCAGCACCCCAGGACACCCTCAGTATCCAAACACCCAGGAGCTCGAATCCCTTGTATGAAATGGCACAGTATTTCCCTAGTCACACAGTCTCCCTCATCCTGCACATCACGCCAGATGACAACACCGGACATACGAAGCCCCCCTCGTATTACAGTGCCTATAGAACGCCAGCGCTGTGTACGACGGTGTCAGCATCGTTAGAAACAATGACCAGAAAACACCCATCGGGGTTCACTAGAGGCACAGCTGTCTCCAGATATCTCCTACCTGGGATCCAGAGCCCTGAGCATTGACACGGATCTTTCTTCAGTCTAAACAACCTGGCATCAGCTTCCTGGCCTAGCAAAGTCTTCCTCAAGGACCTGGGGAAGCAGCCCCTGCCATAGGAGGACGACCTGGCAGCTGAAGGTCTCAGACCATCCAGACCCTCGCCACTCCATCCCTCTCCCCACATCCTTCCTGCTCCATACACAGGCAGAGAGGCAGCCAGAGTCCAGGCCTGTGCCTGAGGAAGACCCATCCTGGGGAGAGGGAAGGACGCAGCTCACCACCCCTCCAGTCTGCAGCCTCCAGTCTGTCTGAGCAGTGGGCCCTGGAGGGGACAGAAGCAGATGGATAGGCAACAGCTGTAAGGACAGGGCCTGTGCCTCTGGGAGGCTGGTAACATTCCCTGCTGCTGAAGGTGCTCATAGGAAAGACACAAGCAATCGTTGACAGCCGGGCTTAGAGCCCCAGGACCTGCACGCTGGAAAGGCAAGGAGGGATGTGGGAAGGGAGGCCCAGGCCCTGGAAGCCCAAGCTCCACCTGCCACACAGGGGACCCTGGGGCATTGGCTGGGACGTACAGAAGCCCCATGAGCACTTAGACAAGCTGAGGAGGGAAGAGGGCCCCACACTGGCCACTGGGGCCTTGCCCCTCCATGCACCTGTTATAGTTAAACCTAGAAGTGCCCCAGAGACTCCTGTGCCAGGATCATGGGCAGGCGCTTCTGGAAGGTGCTGGATTCTGGGGGTGCCATAGCTGACTTGCTGTTGGGAGGTGGGGCCTGGTGAGAAGAGGGGGTCATGGCCTGAAGGGCTTATCTCCCTCCCTGGCTCCTCCCCTGCTACAAACACTCCTCCACCAGGCGCCTCTGCCACACAGTCCTGCCTGGGAGCCAGCGACCACGCCGTGAAACTCTACAAATAAACCTCTCCTCCTTTAAGTTGTGGGTGTCGGGTGGGTATTTTGTCCCAGCAATGAGAAACATGAACTAAGACCCACTCCTAGCAGGTTCCAGTTACAGGTAAGAAATAAACTGAAATCAGTCCCTCAGAGTTTGTCCTGGGGGGAGGAGCTCCCAGACCAGCTGGTTATGGGAGTTGGGGAAAGTGGGAGCTACTGAGCCCCAACCTGTGGAAGGGAGGAAGTCAGGGTGGAAGCAACCCTGCCAGGGCCCTGCCCCAGGCTGCAGGTGCTCGGTGGACCGCAGGCTGGACAGACTGTAAACACAGCGGCCTGGGTTACAGGGCCTGCCTCCTGCATTCTGGGCGACAGGACCCATGCTGGGGCCAAAACCTGCCCGCAACCAGGCGGAGCCCCACAGCTCCAGCGACCACGCCGTGAAACTCTACAAATAAACCTCTCCTCCTTTAAGTTGTGGGTGTCGGGTGGGTATTTTGTCCCAGCAATGAGAAACATGAACTAAGACCCACTCCTAGCAGGTTCCAGTTACAGGTAAGAAATAAACTGAAATCAGTCCCTCAGAGTTTGTCCTGGGGGGAGGAGCTCCCAGACCAGCTGGTTATGGGAGTTGGGGAAAGTGGGAGCTACTGAGCCCCAACCTGTGGAAGGGAGGAAGTCAGGGTGGAAGCAACCCTGCCAGGGCCCTGCCCCAGGCTGCAGGTGCTCGGTGGACCGCAGGCTGGACAGACTGTAAACACAGCGGCCTGGGTTACAGGGCCTGCCTCCTGCATTCTGGGCGACAGGACCCATGCTGGGGCCAAAACCTGCCCGCGACCAGGCGGAGCCCCACAGTGAAGGGCACAGCGTCCCACAGGCCTGGCAGTCGTGCAGACTTCCCCGTCCTCAGCTTCTCTGTCCCAGCCTGGCTGGCTGCCACTGACCAGAGGATGGAGGTGTAAGGCTGAGAGGCAGAATCCCAGTTGGGCAAGCAGCACCAGGGGACGAAGAACAGGGAGAGAGGTGCGGGAAGGGGTCCACCGGCCCTCTCCCTTTCCGCATAGGAAAATCACCAAGGGTTGACCTTGTAGCTCTGCTCCCCTGGAAACTACATACGTGTTGCTAGGCGACACAGCACTGAGGCTGTGCCGCACCTGGACACAGGTGTTGCAGAGGGAGGCTGCACCTGGTGTCCCTCAGCTCTGCAGCACCCCAGGCAGGGCTCCTGTACCCAGGCCTGTCCCTAGCAGACCCGGATGGTGAAAAGACAAGCTGGTTCCTACTAGAAAGTTGGGGCTCTAGAAGCGAGCAGCTCCCACACTTGCCTGTGTGTCTCACTCCCTGGGCCTGAGCTGTCGCCTAGGGCCAGATGTGACCGTTTGAATTCCTGCCCCAGCTGTGCAGCCGTTGTGGTGGCCCAGGTCTGCAGCAGAGACGGCTGGGCTGGAGTGACCAGGTGGTCCGACTGCAAGCCCAGGCCGCACTACCCCATGTCATCTGCGGGGGGGAGAGCCAAGCAGGCAGAGAAGCCACCCTGTCCCTCACAGGACAGGGCCACCTAATCTTGGTTCTGCACAGGCTGGGTCGCGGGTGCTTAGGCTTGGGTTTCGACAGAGACCAGCATGTCTCAGCTGTGCTGGCTGTGTGGCTCTGAGCCCCAAATCCTGCCGAGTTCGAGTCCTTCCTTCTCCATGCTCCATCCACACTTCTAGGAACATCGGTCTCTCGAGGTAGCCGGAATCTCAGTTGTGTCTGTTTGCCCCGAAGTTTCTTATCACAGAAATCACAGTGGCCCGACAGCCTGCACACACAAAGCATGGACGCTCTCTGGCCAGCGTGGTGCTGTGTCCTGGCTTGCAGCTGGTCCCTTCTCGCTCACATTCCCAAACTACGACATGTGGACTGACGGCCCCGAGTCCGGGAGAGGACAGCCACCTGAGCAGGGGCCTCTGGGGTCCGCCCACCCTGGAACAACGGCAGGAATGCCACTCGAAGAACATTTGTCTTGTCTCCCCTCCAGAATTTCCTCCTGGTGTCCGGGGGGACTCCCTTCGCCCATCTGGGGCATCCACCACCCCTAAAGCTCTCCTGCTCTAGTCGGGAACCAGGTACTCCCTGTGCCATGCGGCAGAGCCCCTGCTCTGAGCCAGAAAGGGATTCACTCCTAAGGGGCTTCAGGGGTCTCCTCCGGTGGTCCTGAGCCTCCTCAAGAGTGGAATCTGCTCTCGCTCCTCAGTCCACCTGGCCCTAAAGACACCGTGTTCTTGGGCTTTCGCTGTGTCGCATCACAAGCGTGGCACATGTTTCAGCTTCCTGTGGAAATCTGGGGCTCCAGAGAGCCGCCCCTCCACCTCCACGAGGCTCCAACTCTCTCTGGCCACTCACTGCTGCTGCATCCAGTTCAGAAGGTTCTGGTGACGGGGCCAGAATGGCTCAGGCTTCTGATCCAGGGACCTGTGTGAGTCCCCCTGAGAGACAGACTCTGGGGTAGACACAGCACAGCTCATGGGGTTTATGTACACAGGGTGGAGGGGCCTGGGGTCCTGCTGCGCGCACACTGCAGCCAGGGGAGGCACATGTGCGGGGTCAGGAACTCCAGCCTGTCCCCGCGCTGCAGCGGCTCTCCAGCCCCTTGGTGTCTGTTAATTGCACTTAAGTTTCCTGACGTTCAGGTCTCTGCCCCTCGGCTCTTGAAGGTGATGGCTGGGATACCACTGTGGCTCTGAGAGGGACACAGTCCCCTCATCCCTGCTAGCCCATGCAGCATGGGCGGGCCGGGACCCAGTGGTGCATCCGAAAGGCCGCCCGTTAAAGCTGTTGTCAAATAAACGTGAACACTGTTTCCAGTCTCTGGACTTTGAATAGCTTGTTTCGCTGTTGAGTTGGTTTGAAGAGGGTTGGGGTGGCCGTCGGGGATTCAGTTTATTCCGGAAGCTCTTTTTCTATCCTGGAAGATTAAACACAACTTAAGTAACACCATAACCAAGGTTAAAATGGCCCCACCCACCACTGCCATCCTCCCCACCTTGCCCAGGGCAAGGAAGCAGATCCCCACCCAGCCTGGTACACATCTCCCCATCAGTGGGGCTCAGAGTGCGCTCTCCCCCAGAGAGAAGTCATGCCCTCGTTCACACATCACTAAGGAAGAACCACTGCCTGCCAACCCAGCCCAGTTTCAGACACAGGTGTCAGACCCGTGTGCCGTGGGCAGGGTCAGCGTCGGGGATGCTGGGGACACCAAGCAAGGTTGGCACTGGAGCTCAGTGTGGTGTCAAGACATCTAGTGGGCACTGGCAGTCCCTGAAGCTGGGGACCTCGGTCTGGGCTGGGTCAAGGACAGAACCCTAGAATCGTGGGGTCCTCACAGACCCAGCCCTGTGATGGGAGCTCAGCACAGAGAGCACGGGGAAGGGCCTGGGGGTCAGGGCAGACTCTGGGTGGCAGCTGGGTGCTGAAGACACAGGCCTCAATAGTTGGGGGGGGCTGGGTTCCAGGATCCTGGCAGTGCCTAAGCAGAGACAGGCATCCAAACCAGGCACGGGGAGCGAGGGCAGCAGGAGGGCCAGGCCGCCCGGTCCCTCAGTCCTGGGCATTTTGTAGGCAGCTCAGAGTCTGGCCTCCCGAGCTACTCTCCTGCCAACCTCCCGCTCGTGCAGACCCCTCACCCTGGAATTCTACTCGCTTGCACCCTGGTCCCATGGCACCTCGGTCCCATGGCAACAGAGAGGAACGGGTCTGAGCAGACTGGAGAGAGCCTCTGGGAAAAGCAGAGCGCTCTGCAGATGAAACCGCTAGAGGGGTCCTTATTTCCACCAAGACCTCCCCATCCTCCCAAGGACCCAGCCCCAGCCACACCCGGGGCCCTGATGCCCTAAGGAAGGCTCAGCTACCCAGGGGAGGGAAAGGATTACCAACCCGAGTGCTCGGCTCCCTGGAGTCATCAAGGCCACAGAATGAATGCTAGTGAGAAAAACAAAAAAAGGAACAAAAACTATAACATAAGACCAAAAGAAAATGAGGGGGAAGAAGGAAAAGAAAAGAAAAAAGATGTAAGAAATGCGGCGTGGAGGTTAACGACAGCATCTTACAAGAACTGTGACACAGGGTCCGGCGGGGAGCGGCGGGGGCGGCAGGCTTCAGGGGCTGTGCTCCGGAGCCTCCCCTCTGCTCAGGCCGCCCCTGCCGCCTACACCCCACCCACACCCGGACTTTGGTTGTGGTACCTGGCGGGGCGGGGCAGGGTGGAATGTGGGTGGCCACACTGAGAGATGAGGACTTGGGCCGCGTATCAAATGCATATTATAGCTAAGGTTCCTAAGTGATAAAAGGGCTTTTCCTGTGGTTTGTTCTCATAGGAAGAAAAGAGAGTCACAGAAAAGCAGCGCACTCTCGGGCGCTCATGAGAAAGGTCAATGTGGTGTCGCGCCTCTCGGGCACCGGCCTCACATCCAGACTGCCAAGAGCGACGACTGGCCGATGTGACTGCGAGGTGAGGGGCACTTCTCTCTGGGAGCCAGGCAGAGGTCCGGTCGGTCGTGAGACACAGTCGGACTCTTCTTTTGAGCTGAATGTCCAACCGCCACTTGACACAGCCCAAAACTTAATGAGCAGCTCACTTACTTTTCCGGTATTCATGAGGCTGCCTGTGCTCAATATCATGAGCAAAAGCCTACCTGATACACTTTTGTCTTTCCTATACCACCGCTGCTAAAGACCCATTTTAACTTATTATTCTATGAAATCACACAAGCCCAGTTTAAGGACTTTTAAAGTGTATGTGGCTGCTTAGTACCCCAAAAGCCTACCTTCACAGGTATGCACATGGGTGGGCAGGCTGAAACACTATTTTTGTTTTTTGGTACCGGGGATTGAACTTGGGTCCTTGGGCTTGGTGAGGCAGGCAGTGGAACCACTGAGCTAAATCCCCAGCCCATGAAACAGTATTACTTCAAAGTCCCACCGGCACCTGAAACCCTGGGTCTTCGAGGGTTTGGATGGAAACAGCTGTGGGTACTCAGCTCCAGGCGAGCCCTGCGTCATGAGACACTGGGGGAAATCACTCAATCACATTAGAAGTTACGGTCTCGTGGGGCAGCGTCACTCACTGCTGTCCAGGGCCACGTGAGCCCGCGGACTGTGGCTTGGGCTCCCCTGGGACAGAGCAGAGGACCCTCCCAAGGTCACGGCTGGGTTCCAAGAACCCCGGGCGTGGCCTGCACCCCAAGGTCAGGAGAAAAACACTCCAGGGACTCAGTCCCCTCCCAGACAAGCAGCCTCTCCCGACACTACCCCTGTCGGCTTCTCCTTCCAAGAGATTCATTATTGAAATTTTTCTTTATTTAAAATCTTTTTCTTTTTCTTTCACTAGCTGTTTTTTTTTAAATAGGACAAAATAGTCTTAAAGGAATTAAAAACCACACAAGGCAGTGTAAAAGATTTTTTTTCTTACTTATTCATGACTTGCTTTGAGCATGGGGCATAAAGGGGAGTCTTGAAAGTAATTCTTCTTCCCTCCCAAACTAAACTCCAGTCACTAACTTCTCTTAGAGTCTCCGAAAGAGAGCTAGAAGGGTCACTGGAATCACCCCACCCTTCATGTTCTACATGGGGAAACTGAGGCATAGGAGGGGGAAGGACTTGCTAAGGTCACCCAGCTGGGTGTAGCTAAGCCTCTGGCCACTGGGGAAGAGACAGGCAAACCACCACCAATGACACAGTGGGAAACACAGGTGACAAGGAGCCTCACAGAAAGCTCCCGGTCCTATGGCCTCCCAGGAACCCAACCTGCCTCTCCCTACCACTCCTACCCCTGCTGGTGTAACTCCCTTGTGGGACAAAGGAGGCAGAGCAGCCCATACACATCGGCTTTGAGAAATGAGAAAAAAGCCATTTCCCAGAGACCCACCTCAAGTGTCCCCAAAGCCTCCTGTGCTCATAGACAGGGCTTTTGGAAGGTAATAGATTATGGGGCTCATAGCAGACAGCAGTAGGGGGCGGGGCCTGGTGGGAGGAGGCGTCATGGGGCGTGGCCTGGAATGTTCCTCTTCGTCCCGGCCCCTCCCTCCTCTAGCCTTCCTGTGCCCCATGCTGTGAGCATCTCTCCTCCGCCAGGGCCCTGTGCCAGGTCTTCCTGCCTCAGAGCCGGGGACTATGGCCTGAAATGGGACCCAAAGTAAACATGTCCTTCCTTAAGTTGTGGGTTTCATGTATTGGATCCCAGCAACAAGCAAGTGACTAAGAGCCCCAGGTATCCTCTCCTACCCAGCATGGAGCCCTGTCACTTTGTGTGTGTGCCTTTCCCACTTGAGCTTTTTACCTTTCATCAACTAGGGCCATCATGGCCATGTTTTAAGCCTTTTTTTTTTTTTTTTTTTTTGTCAATGGCTCTGTCATTGGACAAACCAGTGGCTCTGTGACCCGTTTGGCTAAGTTCCCAAGCTGCTGGGAGAACAGAAAGCGGAGAGAGCCCATGCTGTCAACCCCCACCCCCACCCCTCACAGGGCCTAGACAAAGCCTCCTCAGCCCATCCAGTGGAGCCTAGAACGTGTGGGCCGCCCTGGGAGACTGAGCACATCGCTCGCCGCCAGCAGCAAACACAGGCCTGGGCAGGGGTGGGCAGGGCAGAGGACGCCTTCCCCAAGCCTTCTCCGAGCCACCTGGTAGAGCCCGGGTGTGGGTCAAAGTCAGCCCAGCCCCCAAGAGTGTCCTTTGCTGAACTTTATCTGCAGTCTCTGCTCTTCTGGAAGGCTGGGGAGGGGGTCCCCGGAGGCCCCACCCCTGCATTCAGAGCCCCCACGTGGCCAGTTGTCCTCACAGGGTGAGCAAGAAAGCTCCCTCTCAGGAGAGCACAGAAGGGGACCTGGGGAGCACCCTCTTTCTTGTGCACTGGACAGGCCAGGGCCGGCCTTACAGACAGCCCCAACCTGCCCTCTAGTCTGGTTCGGCTCTGGACGAGTCAGCTTCCCCTCTCTCTCTCTCTCTCCCCCTGAACTAGCTGAGATGGTCAAGCCCAGAATCTCCCTCTCCCTCTTCGTCACCACTGTCTCTGTGTCACCCTCTGGGGTTCAACGGGGGTCTCCCCCTTAGGCACCCCTGCTGGACTGACACCCGCGGCACTGTACCTTGTCCCCAGGCACAAACTCACCTCTGCGAAACTGATACCCACTCGTGGCTTTGCCTGCCCCCCCACGCCCACCTGTCGTCATGGCCAGACACCAGGCGGTGCCCCACTCTGTGAGGGAGATGAGCAAACCTGCTCCCTCTCCTCAGGGACCTCACGGCCACCACGTGCATGCACAGGAAGTGGGGAGTGTCACACTGAGTCCCTCTGCACATAAGGTCCTGAGCGAGACCTGTGCATCTGCCCTGATGAGCATCACAACGTCAGGAGGCAGGGGGACAGCTGCGCACCCAGGGAGACCACGCTGTCCCTTCCCCCGGTGGCCAAGGTCCGGGATCCCAATCTGCCCCAGTGCTCAGCACATGGGGCCAATTGGAAAACCCTGAGCAGCCTTCGGAACCCAGGGCAGGTCTGCCTGGCTCACTTCCGCGAGGAAAGAGACTGCGTCTTCCGGGAACGCAAGGCCTGCTCTGGGGCACGGGAGTCATTTTAAATGAGTGAATCCACGGAGAGGACCATGTCTGCGGCTGGGGACACGGCAGCCTCACCACAGCAGAACCAGTCATCACCTCACGCCTCCAGCGAAGTGGCAGCCGAGGGATGGGGCGGGTTGTGGAAAATACACGCACGTGTGCACACACACACACAAACGCACACACGCATGCATGCAGACTGCAACCGTCCTGAGAGCCACCGAGAAGGAACTGTCTCCTGGGTAGGCTCAGATTTCCCGGGAACGCTGATGTGGGGACATGAGGAAACCAGCAGGAAGACAAAGTCCCCACCAGGGTCTGGGGACAGAACCGGCCCTACCTTCTCCTCCAGCTCCTTCAGCTGCCGCTTCTGAAGCTCCAGCTTGGCCTCCAGGTCCCGGACCCGCTGAAACGCACAGGGGACAGGGCATCACACAGCAAGCTCTGGGCCGCACCGACTTTCTTTCTTTCTTTCTTTCTTTTTTTCTTTCTTTCTTACGTCGTCCACACACAAGCAGCGAAGCAGCAAACGGGCAAAGGGCGGCTCCAAGAGCCTGGCTCAGTGCCTGTGCCAGCATCGCTGTCACCCACACTGACAGGGAGGACATCCCGGCACCCCAGGAGGCCCCTGTGACGGTCGTGTCTAGAGGTCCCCCAGCCTCATGTAGTCACAGGCAGGCTTTTTCAGAGGTGGCTGGATCAGAGTGTGATGCCAGGACTGATTCATTGTGCAGTGCTAGGCTTAAGGGCCCCTGGACTAAGGGTGTGAGTGCTGCCTGCCCTAAGGGGCCTGGAGAAGATAAGAGACAGACTGAGCCCTTGCTGCTTTGCTGCCTTCTGCCCGCCATGAACCGTTTCTCCTCTGTGAAGTCCCTCTGCCCTGCCACCCTGCCACCCTGCCCTGGAGCCAGCCGATTATGGCTGAAACCTCTACAAACTGTGAGCTAAATAAACCCTTTCCCATTTAACGTTGGGTGTCGAGTGTTTTGTCTCAGCAATGAGAAAAGCAACTAAGAGTCCCACTCCCCTTAATCAGTGGCCCCAAAAGAACTATTCTGGCTTCTATGACAGGTAGATTCTATCTGGACACAGTGGCACACACCACTAATCTCAGCTACTTGGGAGGCTGAGGCAGGAGAATCAAGTTTGAAGCCAGCCTGGGCAACTTTACGAGACTCTGTCTCAAAATTTTTTTGACTAAATAAGGTCTAAGGACGTAGCTCACTGGCAGAGCACCCCTGGGTTCAACTAGTACAACAAAAAAGAAAACGATGGATGGATATTGTGTCTTCTTCAAGTTCATGGAAATAGAGCTAAACACCAAGTGTTCTTCAGCCTTTCTAGAACATGAGCACCAAGACTGAATGCAGACACCAGGGTGCCCGGGGGCAGGCTGGCAGAGATCAGAGCCAGGACAAGACTCCACCCTGGAGCAGCCCGGAGGCTGCAGGCATGGGTGGCAGGACAGCCGCCCATGCGGGGCTCTTGGGCCCTTCTCATTTCACTGAGCCCCACCCCTTCCATCCCAGCAGACCAGGACAGCTGGTCATTCCTGGTGCTGCACCTGCCCTGCCCAGTCACCGATCAGTCCTTCCAGTGCCCACCCAATGCCACCTTTCCCACTCCAGTTTGTCCTGTGCCCAGTGGCGCCCATCGCCCCAACGTGGCACCCGGGCAGCAGCCCCTGACAGCCCTGCACGCCTGCCAACCTCATTCACTGAGCGGGCGCTCCGGGGCTGAGGGCAGGCCATCCACATAGAGCCTGACTCCACCACCACGGTCCACACTGCCTAGAGGGCTTGCTAAGGATGGGTGCTGGCCCTGCCCACAGATTCTGGGTAGGACTGAGACAGCGCATTTCCAGCAAGTCCCAGGGGGCCCAATTTGAGAACCAAAACTGTAATCAGGGCTCTGAACATCCCTGCTCTTGAGGAGTCCAGTTAGGGTTCCAACAACAGTGACTTGCAAACAGAGCTCTGAGGTGAGTGAGAGGGTCCTGGGAATGATCAAAGTAGGAGGTCTACGTTGGGGAGAGAGAAGGGGAGGAGGAAGAGAGGAGG